ATTACTCACCACGTCTTAAAAAAGCTTCAGCAGTTCAAAGTTAATTAAACAGCATGTAGTTTGTGAACAGTCCAGTTGCTCTCCCCTTGTAATTGTTATTCAAAAGGCAGATAAATTCACTTGACAGTCGGCAAAGCTTCTCAAAGTGGGGAATACAACAGCAGGCTTATTCCAGGTTACCAACCACAGAAAATGGATAGAAGAATGCATTTGATTATAGGACACTGCTTGTCAAGCAAATGAAGTCTGTCCCTTAAACAGCCCTTCTTGCCCAACATTACACCTCATAATACTGCAAGGTATAAAGAACTGCTAAACTCTTCAATTCAGGATCTATACAGATTTCGTCAACTGAAAATAATCTTTAACTATATTTACATAATCTTATCACTGAAGAGAGAAAAAGGATGTGACCATGACTATAACAGAGGATGAGTATTTTCAAAAGTTTACAAAGTGTATTGCATCATCAAACCTCAACTGCATAGCAAATTGAGCATTGGGATTATCATGCATAACTTGATCTTAAGCTAACAGAGTTTCAAATAACCGTTAAACTAAATTGTTTAGTTGGCAAAAATACGATGAGTGCAAAAAACTACTTCTGAATTGAATTCTATCATGCAAGATAATGCATTCTAGATTGTTCAGTTATAAACACATGCTTCAAGTCCACGTTATTACCGAGAACATGAGTTGCCAATGAGAATATGTAATACTGAATTCTTGCTTTTGATCAGCTCCAAATCAGGACCCAGTGAAACTTCGGGTGACACTGGAATGTTGCCATGGAGCTCACGTCAATGATGAGGAGAGACTGACCCACAGGGACCTTGATACAGCATATTTACTATTTACACGTCCTCACTTTATTTTGAAATGTAGAACCCATTTTCCCAAAATAACCATATGGCCCGGAACCATAATGATGTTGCATCAGTGATGATAAAATTCTTGGGCGGCAATTCCCTCTGCAACACTTGCTGCATGACTGGTTGAGAAAGCAGCATCCCTGCGGTCTGCTTTAGAGTCAGCCATTCTTCCATGACTTTTAAAAAATGACCGATAAAGTAACACTTCCAGAGTCCAACTCTCTGAGCTGCACATTGGGCAAGACATTAAGTATATTCTTTCCAAGCAGCTCCTAACTGACACTGCATTATAAAAGTCACAGCCACATCTAGCATGCCTGGGACACGATCCAATATAGGAAATTACAAGGCCAGGCAATAAAAAAAAATCCAAATGAACTCCTGTAAAATGAATAATAAAACCTGGGTATATCAAGTAGATAAACAATGTGTCAGCAATTGTTTTTTCTTTTTGGGTTTTGCTTTTAAGCCACATACCACACTCCTAAATAAAAAGTTGAGATACAAAATCACAGTGCTTTCTAAGACCGTTCACTTCTTAGAAATGGTCTGTGGAATTAATACGCCAGTTGCACAGGGCTCCACAGGTTTGTTTTTTAGGAGGTAATAATTCCTTATGCTTGGAGGTAAACATTTTTATATCATGTCTAGTACTCAATAAAATGATGCATGCACTTTGCACTTCCAAAACCGGCAATACTACCGCCAGACAGTGAAGCAAGCCAAAAGGCTAGAAGCCCTATGACAGATTCCCAGGGTTTGCATTGACTATCTCAACATAGAGGGACATAAGAGCTTGTGGTGGATCTCCATTAGTCACACATCCTTTGGTTCAGTTCTCTTTGAAATGCAATAGCCTTAATAAAAGAGGAATAAAGGTCAGGGTTTCTGATGAAAAGAAGGAGGAAGGGGGGAAACCGTACTTCTGTCAGGTTTAATTCATATTTAAAGTCTTCCATTATTCCATTTTTTAATACTCCTTTTGAGAGAGCATTTCAACAGTGGGCTCCGAGCACTCTAATTCAACCCTCTATTGACATGCTCAGTTCAGGGAAGACATGTGTCTTCCTCTCTGAATACCAAGTGTGTTTCTATTGCTGCAAATGCCAGAGCTTAACTTACTGAGCTATTGGGTAAACAAGGCAGGCCAGAGAGCCACAGAGGGAATGGGCAGTGCTGACCTTTCTCTAGTGCTTAAACTTAGGCCACCAACAGTGCAGTCTATCCAGGGTAGACGGCTATAATACAGTTACTTGCAGACAATTGTTTATAATGACAATTGCTTGTCCTTGCATATTGGAAAGTAATTCCTCTGATTCTTGAGATAAAATGAAACATGGGGGCTCAGAAAGACGACGGAGCACGTACAGAATTCAACTTGGTAGAGGCACAGCTCCAGCAATGCGCCAGGAAATGTCAACTCCTTATGCAACATTCCCAGACTAAAGCAGTACTGGGGCTCCACAGGGGACTATCCTTGCTCCATTCCTGTTCACTGTTTACACCCATGACTTCAAGTACAACTCTGAGGCATGTCATCTGCAGATGTTTTTGGATGAGTCTGCAATTGTGAGCTGTATTAGTGAAGGGAGGGAGGAGGAATATAGGAGCTTGATTACCAGCTCTGTGGAGTGGTGTCATCTTAACCATCTCCAGCCATACACCAGAAAGACTAAAGAAATGGTCATGGACTTTCAGAACAATAAGTCTGCGCTGAACCCTGTTTCCATCCAGGGTGAGGACATAGAGGTGGTGCAGTCCTACAAGTACTTAGGAGTACACCTGGATGATAAGCTGGGGTGGACTGTAAACACTGACGCCCTGTACAAGAAAGGTCGGTGCTGAATATTTTTTTAGGAGGCTCAAGTCCTTTGGTGTGTGTAGAACACTGCTACACATATTTTATGAATCAGTGGTGGCAGTGGCCATCTTCTACGCTGTTGTGTGCTGGGGCAGCAGCATCATGGCAAGAGATGTAAACGGACTCAAGAAACTCATCAAGAAGGCTGGCTCTGTGTTGGGGCTGAGCCTTGACCCCCGAGAGGTGGTGGCTGAGAGGAGAATGCTGACCAAGCTAACAGCCATCAGGAACAACGCCTCTCATCCACTACATGGGACTGTTATTAGACACCAAAGCACTTTTAGTAACAGACTGCTCCTGCTACAGTGTTCAAGGGAACGTTTCCGCAGGTCCTTCCTCCCGGTGCCTGTCAGGGTGTATAACACTGCCCTAGGCTAGGACTGTCAGCCCTTCAGCTGCTCATCTATGGACAGCATGTTGTACTAATGTACTTTTTTGGACACTACACTACTGTACTGTTTATACTGTGCTACTTTCAATCTGTATGTACCTTTGCGCATTTTGCACATACTTTATTGTCTTACAGTGACTCTTTGTATATTTTGCATACACCTAACTCTATTGATTTTACTTTGTATTGCTGTACTTATTTTAATTTTTCATCTAATCTGATGTCTGTTTTTGCTTGTCTTGGGCTGGGCTACTGTAACACCTCAATTTCCCCTCAGGATCAATAAAGTCTTATCTATCACAATGTGGCACAAACTATTCCAGATTTTCTGTGGAGTGGAGTACTATAGTAAATGTTTCTCTGTAAACCCACTGCAACATTAATAATGTAAGCACTCTTAAACCAGTTCATCAGGATTATTCTGAAAGCATCTTGATGAGGTCCTAGGATCAATAACTTCCAAAGCAGCCAAATGCTCAACAGGGAGCTGAATAGCTTCTTTTCATTTGTAACCTTGCTCTTATTCTTGGGATGACTCTGACAATCAAATATTTGTCTCTACCACAACTCTGCAAGAGGCCAAGAAGATCAAATGCTACAAAAACTTGAAGGCCATGTTGATTAAAAGCTCTGACATAAACATGATATGTTGTAGAGCATCATATTCAGTGGAATTAGCCAAGCCATTATCAATAATGGGGCTAACAAATTTTCAGTTTGTGTTCAAATAAATACCAACTCTGGTGTCTATTTCTGTGCAGGCACCAAAGCTCTGTTAAATATGCATACATGGTTCATTAGCTTGCACTCAGCAATGACACTAATTAATTAGCAATTCACAGTTAAAAGCGTAACGGAGCCTGTTCCCGTACTTCTTAATGAGTTATTGAAGTCTAATTAATTCACGCTTAACTGCTAAACTGAAGTCTGAGCGCAGATGAAGTTTCCTTTACAATTAAAAAGACACCGTGTTTATGAAGCGTTTCCCTTCGTCATGGGTGAATGCAGAATGATATTAGAGATAATTCACAGCTCCCCACTTTCCTCTAGATTGATATGCATATTCAGCAGTGGTGTTTTGAACTGGAACTCTGAACTTTTGTAGTAGGCCTAAAAAGAAGACAACATTGGAACATCAGGTAGAGCCCTGTGACCGCAGTAGTCTCAAAGCCACTTCAGCACTAATTCAAAATTTAAAAGGACAGATCATAAGGATTTTAAGTTAAGCAGTTTCAAGTAATATACTCTGGAGAAAGCATTTTTCTTGAAAGCCTGAAGTTATACTCTTCAAGTAAGATGAGTGCCACTCTTAACTGGCAAGTTTTTGTTATTTAACTGTGACATTCATTTTAGCCTTTTCAATTTAGTAAAAATACAAGATGGTTCCATTGTGATGGAAACTGGGATGATTTGATATTGTTTGACCCAACGTCGTGTGGAAAACTCTCAGTAAACGTGCCTGTAAGGACAGTCGCATCTTAAGCAAAACAACCTATTCAGCCTAAGAAATGCTTTGCTGAAAACTGAAAGTAAAAAGTCTCTTAGCTGATTATTACCATGTTTATGGAACAGTTCTGTTTTTTTGTATCTCATGTTTCTGTGCAAATATGATTATTCTCCCAACTTAAAAATGGAAGGTGTAATAGGAACATTTCATAATCATCTATGTGACCTCCTGAACTAAACCTTGGTTATCTTCCACCGCATGCTGGACTCCAGCTCAGGGATACAGTCCTGCTGCCGTATGTGAACGTCTAGATGTCTGCATCCCAGCATTGTCCCGAAGAGAATGGGACAGCATTTCACAGCCCCTTAATTCTAGCATAGCCTAGCAGATTTGTCAGAATTTCAAACAGAGGCTTGTGTCGAGACTTACTTGAGAATAAACTGGTCAACAGTAGAGTTGGGCACCAGGAACAGGCTGATGCTGAGGATTTCTCCTGGCTTCAGCGGTTTCTCCGGCAGTCGTAGGAACATGTTCTTGTCCAGCTGCTTGTCCATCATCATCTGCTCCTGGCTGGGCTGGTAGAGACTGATGCTCCCAATGCGTAGAAGAGGGTGCTGGGTGGGCATCTCTCCTCGGAGACCCCCTGTCCCCCGACGGGGGGAGTTGTCTCCACACTCCCCGTTCCCATCAGGGTCATGAACCGTGTAGTACAGCTCAGCCTGGAGGGTCTCGCCACTCAATTCAAGTCCTTCCATGACCTTCCTGCGAGCCAGGGGGGCCACGTTAATGTTGAACCATGTGCCCGGGAGCTCCAGCTGAGCCAGGCAACGCGCCAAGTCCCCCCGGAGCCGACATGAGGTCTTGATCTCCCGTACGTCCCGGAAGGCATGAAGCCGCACGCAGGGCAACTTGTCCACCACTTTGAAGTCATCCCAGTCTCGGCCGGCGATGTAAAATAGCACCTGGACAACGGGGTTGCTGGAGAAGACCCTAGGCTGGACAATAAAGGCCCGGACCTTCCAGTTGACTGTTAACCAGCCAGGGACTTCCAGCGGGCTGGAGGGCTGCAAGAGATCTCTGGAAAGGATCTGGTCCTGAGCAAAAGGCCCAAATGTGACATTGACAGCTGGAAGCTCCTTGGTCTGAAAAACCACAAAGCTTTCGGACCGCTGCAGGGGGTGGCCGCTCTGGTTACCCTGTGGAGCTTGGCGTGTCTCCCGCAGAAAGAAGGCGAGCTGGGTGTTGGAGAGCTTGAAGCTGGCTGGAAGGTACACGTTAGGAGGGCTGGTGGTGGCAGAGGTGGCGGAGGCACCGAGAAGAGCATCAGAATTGGTGGGTAGCACTTTGCTTGCCACTGCAAAAGGATGAGAGAAGCAGAACACTCTGGTTAGACAACCGGGGCGACTTAAATTCATCCAGAAATTTCATCAACTTAACAGCACAAAAAAGGACTGTGAAGATGCAGAATAAAATTAGTTTGGTAGTAATGCCCTTACAATTTAACCTTGAAGACTAAACTGCTAATTATACAACCAGCCTACCATCTATGCTGTGCCCATTTGCTCCATTTGAAAAATATAATACAGGAATGATCTCTATCCCCCGAGTTCCCAGGACACCTTTAATGTAATCAGTTCTTTAATATTTTAACTGCTCTATAGAGGGCTCTGTAATATAATAAAGCATCTGGCTGGAAAAATGTCCACCACTGTAATAAACTGTAAAGACCAGATATTGGAGGAACCTCTAGGTCCAAATTCTTTATTATAATTTTACATTATGCTAAGAGTCCTTCAAAATCTTTGACAACAGATTTGTTTGGATTATAGACATTAAGGGAGAAATAATTAACACCCCATGACGTACCGTACAGAAAAACATGCACAGTATAAGCACAGTGAAGTATTTGTAGTCGGTTTTCAGAGAATGTAGTAAATAAAATCCAAGGAAAACAGTAGGTTTTTTTTACTCTTGATCACCATAATTTCTGATCTTGATTCCAAAGAGCTACAGTATCTGCTCCATTACCACTGTTTCCTTGCTTCCACACGTAACAGAGCTCATTTGAGCCTTGTTTAATACAAACTGTAATTCTAAAAACACAATAAAGCTACCTGAACATACGACATAATCCAGATGAAGTATAAAAAAAATGAAGTATTGTGGCCATTTGTCCAGCTATAGCTGGAAGTATCAAACTCCCCCATATTACTGGCTTATACTGACCTTTACTAATAGAAGCTGTCTGGTATATCACATTGCCAACTTATTTCATAAACAAGGAATGAATGTCACTGGTCATGTGTCTTGGGCATACAGCTGCAGCTACTGTAAGATTTTTGTGCAACCCTTCATGTCAAGCAGACTGCAAAAAACAACATGAGCCAAAAACTTTTACCGATCCCATGTGCCTCAGATCCTAAATTACAGGCTATATATGGGTGGCCAGTTGGAAAACCAAGCTCAGTTAAATCCTTATAAATAATTATGATTCTGTCTATGCTAGACTCACCACCACTCCCCTCCCACCATCGTGTTTTCTTCTCCAATAACACCCATGTCTCACCACACCTACGGTACTCAGTGGCAGACTGCAATCACTGGCCTTTTTCAGCCACACTGAGAGGCCTCAAAGGATATTAACACCGCGGAAAAAAGCGTTTATCTCCTGTGCTATTTATCTTCCTCCCACTCAAAAGTGTTGAGGCAGACTCTGTGGTCTCAGAGCTCAGGGGCTCCTGGACTCCAGGTCTCAGGAGAGATGAGGTAAAGGTCTTTGATGAATGAGCTTCCCCTTGTCTTTCTCTTCACAGCCCCTTGAGAGATGGAGACAGGGGTAGGGGCTGAAACACTGAAAGAAGGGGTGGAGTGGATTGGGGGGGGTGGGGGGCTTCTCGAATTTCCAATTGTAGGTGCGGTCAGATAAAAGGAGACTGCACCAGGAAAAAGGAAAAACTCACAGGCAGACCAGAACATTGTAGGCGTACAAGGAATTTAGATGATACTTTTGGCCTTCATTGTTTGGAACTCATGACAACCATGGTGGTTTTAGTGCGTGTTTCTGAACACATTTAGGGGGTTTAGCTTTCTTACCCGAGAAGAATGATGAAAGAAACAAAAAAAAAACAGGTATAGGTCTATTCCACGCTGACAAGAAAAGACCCAATGTGTGGGTGCACAAAAGCAAAAAAGACCTCAAAAGTCTTGAGATCATCTGCGTGAATAAGGCGTAAAAGGGACCTTTATTTCCACACCTTCAATCTGCAGCACATTTCACATGCCATTAGGCTTATGTTATTGTGCACCTGAAGCTGAAATTGGTGTTAAGATTTCATGAGGAGAAGAAAAAATACTTTTTTTATAACCAGACATAAATAACGCATTGTTGCTCTTGTTCTTTACATCAATATTATGTATAGAAAATTAAAGACTATGAACATAATTAAATTTCTCTAAAGGATGTTAGCCAAACTGAACTTTGTTTTCTTCAGATATGTACAGTATACTGTATATACTGTATACACTTTCACATGCGGGGTTCAAAGTTATTTTTTTCATGATTCAAGACAGACCTCAGCCATCTGGTGCTTCTAAAATAAATAAAAGTGCTAAATTAAACCACAATGGTTGTTATTTGTTCCCTTTAAGCACATAATTGATCTATATTGATGTACAGTACAAACTATTACAGTATTGCAAACCTTGGGTTATTACTCAACAATTATAAGCAAGAATAGGTTTTTGAGAGTTAAAGATCTAAATTCATCAGTCAGATTTTCTGACATCATTTTAGGGTGTTTGGGGGGTAAAGGGGTGTTTGAGGATGATGCGGGAACACTTGGTAAAATAAAGGTGCAAAACGGAGCTGCTCAAACAACGTCATAATCTCAGCTGTGGATGACTTAATACTTTTATTGCTCCTGCAAGCCACTCCATTAGAGGACACATTAGAGGCTCAAATATCTTTTCAGTCTCGGAGCATGTAATGTGCACTTCCAGTTGCCCATATAGATCACCATCACATTTCCGACACTGCCTCCGGGTTTCCTTCTGGCATTATCCCGATGATTTACTGAATATCTTTAGTGGAAACGCTCTTTACTTATTGTTGAATGGGGAACAGGGCAGATGGCAAAATAACCTGACACTGTACCCCAGCCAGCTTCCTGTAGAGCCTCTGGGATATGAAAGCTGGCTTTCCCTCGATTCCTACTGCACAGCCAAACACTAATTGTTCCTTTCTCAACCCCCAGAGGTTTTCAAATCAATCTTCAGCTGACCTTCAGGGAAACATGAAGATTGCATGGGAACCACTCAAGAGGCACATCTCCTGCACAATGTCTGGCCTCCAAAGGAGGAAGCTTCATACTCTACAACATCTTCAAAAGACAAAAATATACTCAGCATTGTTGGAAACGCCGTCATAATCCGTCTTCATCAAGGCCGCAGCAGTGCTAATGCACAGGAGTGCACCCTCTTAACGCTGCTAATGAATACTCCTTAATATGCCTCTAAAACTCTTTTTGCCATTCAGACTTGGCACAATCCACACGAGTGCTTGTGTGTGTTAAAGTGCATGAGGCTTCCTATCTCCCAGTCTCTTCTGAGTATTTAAAAAGGAGCTCCCTTTGTAACCAAGTCAAAAAGGCAAAATGTCTGATGCCAATCATCTCTTAAAAACAGAAAAACTTCATATGGGTCTCTCCCTTACTCTGTACACTGTTTTTCGTAGGAATTCTAAAAAGGCAACGTACTCTAATTGTCCCATTAAGCATTCAAGTAAATACCTCCCAGTTTCTCAGATCAAGCTCTGCATCCTGTCTCTCAACAACAAGGCACGAATCTACTGAAACCAGCGTTATGACTGAATTCAAGATAAATGAAAAAGATTAGCAGGAAATCACAGAGCAAACTGCAGGCAAGTTCTTCACAATATTGATTGTTCTCATGTGCCACAAACAGTGTTTTTAAGCATGTCAAATGGATTTGTTATGGACTGCACAGCTATGTGTTCTGAGTCACAGGAAGAAAAATTGAACCGTCATTTAATGTTATGCTGTAGATGTTAGATTGTATGCTTTAAAAGGATAATCTTGATTTTCATTATATTCATTTCTATAGAGATTTTCCTGTCAATACGACTGTTGTGAGTCACAAATATGACTTTTTTTTCTACTGTATATAGAAATCACACCTACTGGTGGATGTGATTATTCTCTGTATTTCGCTGCCTATTTCTCTTGCCAAAGAGAAATGTTAGCAGGATTAGAGGGAGTGAGACTGTTCCTAGATATCTTTCAACAGTCCTTTACAGCCAAGGACATAAAAAGTCCCTTTATATGTTTCTCATTACTTTTCCACATGTAATCCGTGTTTAAGGGACGTAAATACACTTGATGAAGGATATCAACGTAAACCATCCTCCTCATGCTTTTGGCTGTTGTCTCTTCAAAAGTCTTCATTTACATTCTGAAAAACTACCACACACTTTAGTACAATACAAGCTAGGAATACACCATTGCTTTATTATTATTTTAAACGATCTCTACATGCAGCCACAATCCCTTATGTTCAAGTATGCCAAACCAATCATGGTCTTGGTGGATGCTCCACCTGCCGCTGTGTGAGGGAAGTCAAAGCAGCTGTGAAGGATGATGGGGAGGAGATGGCGATGGAGAAGACAAGGGTCAGAGAGAAGGATCTGATACTCCATCAGACTATCCAAACTCTTTGTACTGAATTGTATAGGATACTGTAACAGAGGAGGTGGCAGCAAAGTAATCAAAGGAGGTTAAAGAGGTGGAACTCTGGGAACATTTTCAAGCGCATCACAATGATCAGTTAAGGGGTTGTCATAACCAGGCTCCTAATGGATAAGGCTGGTTCAAACCTTGCATAATGAAAGCCAAACACAAATCAACTAGAATTAGTGAGGAAAAAGCTGCTTGCATTTCATCTTAGCTAATGGGACCACATGCTTTCTCCCTATGTAGAGTAAGAGAAAGGTTAAAACCAAACAGACAATCAAGCCTGGGAATCCTTTCACAACTATAGCTTAAAAAAAAAAAAAAAACAAGTCCAGCAGCTAACATCTACCATTTTGCATGAAACTAACTTAACATGATTTATGAAAACCTACTTTTTTCTTTTCAAGGACACAATTTGGTGGATTTAGCTAAATTTGCAGCCTTTGTTTTAAATCAAAAACTGCCAGCTGTGATGAATAGCCAAGGAGCAGTTCCTCTCCAGCTTCTGGCTGCTCTCTCACCTGTTCATTGCTTGCTGTTTACTCTCCACCTTGGGGCTGTTTTCATTTCTCACTACCTGGGTGTCAAGATGAAGAAGTCTTTGATT